AACGTTACATTATGTTCAGTGTTCGTAGCTAGGCGATACATGAAACAACTTGCTTTAGACTCTGGGAATGAGGTACAATAAAGTAAAATGCGATCTAGATCCTCGAAAAGTTCTTTGAACGTCTTGATCCTTGATGGTCAACCGTCGATTCTCGATAGCTTCGAGGATCGAGTTTCGAGTCGAGACTGTCAACTTACTCTTGAGCGGTACTGTATGTGTAACCACCTTTAGTTGAGACTTTTCCTTGTTTCCCTTAAAGCATACGAGTGGTAGCAAGAAGGCCGAATGTCAGTGTAGTAAGTGCCCCTATCATGGTGTAAAGGATCAGGAAACAAGACTTAAGGCCGAGAACAAGAACTTTACCACCCATCCCTTTCCTGCAGTCCACGCTTCATCCCCAAACAACAATCCAATTCACAGCAATTACTTTCATCCACATCACGGCAAGCCCCTCCCTGCCACCTCCCTTCACCTCTCAGAGATCCATCGTCAGGATCTTCACAGCTTTCTCCCGGACAGCCTCAGGCACGTCAATCATAATGGTTACCATGACAGCCCGGATGGATGCACTGAACTGGATGACGGAAATAACAGTTCTAGTGACATCAATAGTGATTATGATGATGACGATGATGATGTAGACGATGACGATGATGACGTGAGCAGTTGTTCACCGAGGAGAACAAGCCAGTCCTCAGGTAGAACATTTTACATGCAAAGAAGAATGTGTCTCCTTTGTTCCTTGGTATACTTAGAGAAAAATTTCCACAGATTTCAATATTTTAAATGTTTTCCTTGTTTTTCCTTTAAACGGCCTCTGCGTCTCTTTAGAGATTAATCCTCCACACCCTAACATCAGTAAGCATATTCTCCGTACTGTTCTCCATACATTACCCAAGGTGCTAACAAGGAGAGTTTTTTCAACAATCAGGAGCTTCTTTAGTTTGTGACTATTTCCTTTGTTCTCGTGATCCTAATAGTTGATGTAGGAGTAATCTAGTAAGGAGAAATTACATGCTAGTCACTCCTGGCCTGATTAGTCAATGGATTAAGAGCTTCTTTACTGCTCTCAATATTTGCCGACCTCGAAGATTTTTTGTCGCATGTTCCTCAAAGCCAAAAGACTGGTTTTGTTGAACACAAATAAAATGTAACCTTGTTTTGTGTCAGCGTTTTATGTTCCTTTTTTTTTTTTAATTTGGATGTGATCTTTTTTGTTGCAGACATTGACGGCCTGGGCCTTGATGTCCCCCCTGGTTCCCCATCAAGTGTACGGAGCAGTGGAGATGGTAGCTCATGCGACACTCCACCTGTCAATCAATGTACGTCATCAACGGATGATGGCCGGACGGATCGTGGGAAATACTGCGATTGTTGTTATTGTGAATTCTTCGGCCATGCTGCAGTAAGTAGACTGTTTACTTCTAACCAAGTAACCTTGTTTGATTTTTGCGTACACGTTTTGAAATCGAGAGATGGATTAAGAGCTGGCCAAAATATTTTTGTGTCGGTTTGAAATGAGTGAATAGGGAAAGTGGATCAGATCGTTCCACAAACGTACTTTTAAGAGCTCTACATACCTGTCATCCTCTATTGACAGGTGTAGTGCTGATTTCAGGTTAAAAAGATGCTGACTTTGCATCATAAGTTTCTCTGATCTGTGGCAATTTATATTTTTAGCCTCCTGTGGCACCAACCAGTCGCAATTACACTGAGATACGGGACAAGTTAAGAAGACGATACAACAAACGGCAGGTAAAGTGAGCTTTTAGTGTTCAGGTGTTATTACTATTTGTCTCCTGAGTAGTCTTAAAATTTTACCTGTGCATACATTTATGGCAGATGAATCATCGTTTAACTCTTTACAGGGCTGTTGGAATATCGAAGTTTATATGTTTGCAATGACGCTTTGGATTTGATAGATGCAAATTGGCGCTATAGTTGGTGGAAAATTTCTCGAACTTTAAAAGTAACCGATTTTATTCTCTCGAAGCCAAACCAGCCGGTACAGCAGAACAAGAACAAGAACAAGAACAACAAGAAGACGGCGAATGCGACAGTCGTTGATCACCGGTCGGTGGACGATCTCTTGACGTTTATCAATGGGCAGAAAATGGAAGAAGAAAGACTGGGGGCAAAATCGAAAGCGCAAAAAAGAGCGCGGCAAAAACAAAAGAAGGTGAGTGGGACTCAAAGTAAATAACTGATACTGCAATGTTTTTTTTACTGTTTATCGCCATCATCATCATCTTCGCTATCATGACATTGATGTTAAAAACTGACAACAACATCGGTAATAATTAAAAGTAAACCAGTGGTGATGTTGCAAGCCAAGCAACCTACCTAATCCAAAGTTTTTTGGCGCACCCAACAATGTGAGTTGATTGATTACGTGAATACTTGAATGTTTAATATTTAAGTAGACGAATGAAATATTGAAAAAAAAAAAACCTTACTTGGAACAATTTTTTCTCCAAGGCGGCTGAGAAGGCTAAGCAGAATGAGAACACAAATGATCAAATAGACGACAAAGCTCCTCCATCTTCCCCCTCCAACCGAGGAAACGTGAATGGGATTCATCACAACGGCACGAGTGATGCATTGAGGAACAAACGGGAGTCTGACGCGACCACAAACTACCAAACACCCGCTCTTAACGGAAAAGAACTACAAAACGGCAAACCAGTACACAGGGGTAAAGAACAGGAACAGAAACAACTACAAACACCAGACAATGGTGGCAAGGCGCGAAAGAAGAGAAATCACTCAAATCAAGATGTCACGATGTCACGCCAAGTAGAGAGTCACGAAAACGAGTGCAACTTCGGTGCGCGGACAAAAACGGAAGAGAAGGCGGAGAAAATACGACAGGTATCGGGATCACCTGATCGTAGCCCTGTTAGCAATAACAAACACCAAGGGCAAGAGAAAACAGGCGGTCCACCACCACAGAAAAAGCAAGGAAAAAAGAAGAAAAAGGCGTCAGTAGGTAAGAAACACGAATCCTTTGGTTATGGCCAAAAAATGAGTTAAGTGACAGTTTCATCCCCTCTTGTCCATTAGTCATGCTACAATAACAGTCATAACGTTGTATTGATTTAATGTTCGTTCACCTGTGGGTTACTTTTAGACTAATTGTCATTGTCTTATTCGTGTTATCGTGTTTGTTCATAAAATATTTTTATTTTTTACTCAGATGATGATGATGTTTTCATGCCGCGCGAAGATATCGAGGTAGGTTTAAGCTATCACTAAGCCAAATCCAAAGGAAGTCTATAAAATCATGCATCTGTATGTTTTTTTTAAGGAGGTTTCAGCGGCGTTAACTTGACATTGCTAATATTTGAACATTTCTCATTGACAACCTTGTTTATCGTCACAGACCGATTGTATGTTTGGTAAAATATGGAGATTATGTATCATGAAGCACTGAAGGGCAGACGCTCAGTAAGATACTACATAAAACGAGTCCAAAAGGAAATTCAGTCGTCGATTTCTTAAAAATTCAGATCGCTGAGTTATGAGGAGATAATTTCCACTATGATACTGCATAAAACGAGTCCAAAAGGAAATTCAGTCGTCGATTTCCTAAAAATTCGGATCGCTGAATCATGAGGAGAGAATTTTCAGTCAGTTGGAAAACTAACATTGTTTACCAGTAATTTTTTTTTTGGCAAGTCTGCTATCTGCGATTTGATTGGCTGCTCCTCTCGCTATCTATTCCGCGATCGATACATGTACTTGTAATAAGTAGAGCGAGTACCCAAATAGTGTGCAATTGAATAGAAACATGAGCCCGTCTTGTTGTTAAGGTTTAAAGTTATAGAGGATTTGGAACAGATTTCCGTATAACCTAATACTAGTTTAAAACGAAGCCGCACACCCAAGGGCAATCTATTGTTTTCGCCATATTTCTCTTTATCCAAAAACTGTATGCGTATTGAGTATAGGGTTTTGCGGAAATCTTGACCAGATTTTAACCAAAAGAATTAAAGTTTTGCTTAAGATTTCTTTGCGTGATAGAAATCTCAAGTTCTTTATGTCATCGTTGAATATTATTGCAAATTTTTGTTTCTTGTAGAAACTTACCCAAATGGATGAAGCAGAGCGTGAACTGGAAGAGTTTAAAAGGTAATATAACGGTTTCCTTGATATATCATGTTAACTCTAGAAGAACTGTTTCGAAGGAAAAATTCGTGAGATATTTTCCCTTTGCCCTGTTTTTCCAGCCTATCATTTATGGCAGTCGGTACTTCTCTCATGTGTTTATTAGTTGAGCTAAAACTTTGGTTGTTGGATGACAATGCAGTTGTTCTTATTCCTTCCAAAACACACACAATTTAAGCTGTTTGTAAATGTAGGCGAGAACAGTTTTTGGGTTTCTAATGGGACCTGAAGGAAACGATGTAAATGTCGTCGAATCCAAGACAAAACGCTTCTTTGTGTGTTTAGAATGTTATTCTGTTGCATGATGATGTGGATAGAAAACCAGGAAAGATAAGACTGAACTATAAGTTGTGAAACACTTATGACATCGTAGACAATATGGGTCGTTATCGCCTAGTACAGTTAATACTAATTTTGGAGATGGCCTTTTCATTGCAGATTTTGTATGAATCTAACACCCTTGGAGAGAAGAGAGCGTATTCCTGTAAACGTCAACCTCAAAGGGCTTCTAAATGGCAAGAAAAACGGATCTTCTTAGGCCATGCCTTGAGTTTCCAAGATGAGCTTACTCGGCCTTCTTGAGTCGAGGAGGCCTGTAAACTGGTCGCGCCAGTTTTTCCGGAGTTGTGAATTTAAGGAAGCACTTCCTCGATCAGTTCCGTTTTCTTTTCAATGTAATCTAATGCACAGAGAATTATATTGCCAAATAAAATATCTATTTAGTTTCGTGAAGAAGTCTTGTGGCGTGATGCGAATTGTACGTAAACAGGTTAAGGACATGTTGGTATTGTTTGTTTTGTCCCCTTGTTATTACTTTGAATACACACGTTGCCACCTGTCGTGTCACCAACAAGCTGATTTGAATTTGCATGATCGTTGATGTTGAAAGAAATCAAGTTGTACTGATCGATGGTGCTTTCGAAAGGTGCACTAACCTTCCTTCAGAAATACGGCTCAAAGAAAGATGGTAAGGTAAAAAGGTATTTTGGATAAACTACACCTGTATTTTTAAAATGTGTAATCGAATGATGCAGGACAATTATGATCATGGCGCTGTAATATTTGGAGAAACACAACGCGGAATGCCATGTATAAATTCTAGAGTTTAGTTGAGGGTGAAATATTTGTAAATGTCTGCTGAATGTGTGACAATCTCTAACTCTAGAGGGGATTTTTACGCCATTCAAAACTGGCTCAAGTTTGTGGCGGCTGTTAATTGACTTCTCTACAAATTGCTGTCTTCCATCTGTAAAGGTATCATTCAGACTGGCAGTTCTATTGCGAAAGAGTACCTATCATTTCATCACTAGTCTTTGCTGTGGTGGAATATTGCAGAATGAGCTGTATTTCAAGAAACTTTCACCAGAGCGAGTGTCGAACTCTTGTGAATTTTGCTTTGCAGTGGAAAATTTAACATGTTATAATTATGCAAATGTTTTTTTCGTTGCCAAGTACGTTCGCAGTGATGTGAATGTTGCGTTTTTGTCGAGATAGCTGCTTTTTTTTCGACGGCGAGCGAGAAACTCGAAATGAAAGCTGCGACGTTGGATTTTTAAAATCTGGTCAATTGAACTTTTTATTATTTTTTTTTTTCTCTCCATTGAATATGAAAGGATACCGGTTATATTGTGTAGTAAACAATTATCACAATACATCCAATGGAGGTTTTCTTTTCAATTTATCGGTAAATTGAGAAATTTGTTTCGGTTTAGTTTGGCTCAATTAGTTTAAGAAAGCAAGTGTACGCCTGGAAGTATCTTATGTTTGGAGAATTTGGCAGTAGATTAATGTTTCATGATGTCTCGAATCCTCTTGAGCAAATGGAGAACGCTTTGCCGCATGTAAATATTTCACCACGATTCTATTTGCCAAATTTTTGTCACGTATTCACCGTTCCTCGGCAACCGCTGGAATGTTTACAGAGAGAGCCCTCTTTCCCTTGACTACTGAGTCATGAGATCGGTGTCTATCAATTTCTATTTTTATTTATTTACTTTTCAGTTTTCTCGCGTGACGGTTAGAAATCACACTTTGGTTGCATTAGTATCGGTAAGAATTCCTCGGCCGTGACGACAAATCCATCTCCAAAACATGACTTTTCAGCCTCGATAAACTTGTTGAGGACGAAATTTGAGGTTGCAAACCAATAGACAATTCATTTGAGACGGTAGGTGTAACTTTAGCAAGCTTCAGTCGATATTCACGACGTTTAAACTAGAACCACATCTTAAAAAGTCAGAACATTACAATAGAGGATATTCTTGTGTTTCACTAGCCTCGTCTTAAAAGGAAGGTAACGAGGATAATTCGAGTCAGTTATTCTAATAATTTCGAATCAAGTCACCCTCGGTGCGATCCGTCGGCTAAGCGGTGCGTGGTTGACCTTGGAAATCACAGGGCTTTTGTGACGGTCAAGGACGTTTAAAAGTATCGTGCTGGGTTTTTAATCAATCCAGATATAAGCACGATGGTGTGAATTAGCTGCTTCCGAAGCAAATGTTTAGTCTTCACTCAATCTACACCGAAGTCTGGAATACTTTGAGGAGCAGTTTTAAGATGCTGTATCTTAATACCCGGCAGCCGAGCTCAGTATCAAATAGACTAAACGCTCGGTAGTCAGTAATTTTCACAGAGGTTCCATTAATGGTTCTCAAACTTCTTGAGAATATCAGATGTTTGTTTAGAAATGTCAATCGATTCCAAAAATTATTTTTTTTTGTCTTAGTGGACAAATTCTCCGAGCTTATGCATCATATAATATCGGTCGGTAGTCGCCACTCAGAAGTGCTTGGCTTGTTGTCAGACTGCTGGGCACGGTTTCAAATGGGCTAAACTGCCGGCAGATCTAAATTACGGTCACCTCGCACCTTCAGGGGCCAAAAAATCGATTTTTGTTTTATTTGACTGGGCTGGATTGAAACATTCAACCAAACATTTCCGTAAAAAATTTTTTAAAATCTTTAAAAGCAACCGAGTTAGTTAGAAAAAAGTATTTTCAAATAAAAGATAATTAATCTGGAAGGTGTCAGAATCTCGGATCTGAGCGAACCCCTGGGGAAATTTCCCGGCAACCGCTCATGTTGGGGCTCGATTTTCGTGTTATTTCCATATTTTGTCTACATCGCGCACTTAACAAAATTCACACGTGGAAGCTCTTTGCTTACAGAAAATCTTTGTTCATAGAAATTAAAAGCGGAAGAAAGTATTAATTAGAAAAAAAAAATCAAACAAACAAAAAAAAGAAGGCTCTAAGAAGAAAGAAAGAGTACCATTCTGTCAAGAATATAAAAAACTTCCTTGGTGAAAGCGACTGATACTGGCGGAGCTCCACGCTGACGTCCAGATTTCGATCAAAGAGGTCGCCGTCAAACCAAAATTTTCCATACATAATGATAGCATTGAGGTTTCCTTTTCTTAATGTAAGCCTTGATATAAAAACATTAGCAATCGCCTCGTTATTTTGAAAGCTGTCTTTCGATGCATTGTCTTGCTCCTCAGCAAATTTTCCGGTTTTTCCATTTTTGCAGGGGGTTTTTTCCTTTGCCATTGGCAACTTTTCTTATTATTGTGTCGTCCTCTCAACGCTGCACATAAAAATGTTATATGTTAAAAGTCGTGACCGAAGTCTTTCTTAGAAAATGCCGCCCAGCCAGCAGAAAAAATTTATTTCTGAAAATTTGCAGTGAAGCTGGGGATGTCTTAGGCGACTCAACACCCAACGGATGGGATACCGTATGCTGAGAGCGGGCGGGATGAGAGAATGCTTCCGGCTCTCGGAACCAATCAGATCGCAGGATTTGCAAGCGCTCACCGCCCGCTCATGTACTGAGAACAAAAAATTCTTACTGACGGGCGTATAGTCTATTCGAGACCGTGCCCGGCAGTCTGATCAGAAGCGTATAATTTCTTAAGTGTCGACAACCGTCTACTAAAACAACAAATTAATTTTTGGAATTGCTCGACATTTCTCAACAAACATCTGATATTCTTAAGAAGTATAAAGAACTTTTCATTTGAAATTCTGTGAAAATTTCTGACTGCCAGGCATTTAGTCTATTTGAGGCCGTGCCCGGCTGTAGGTCATTTAGCCACAGGAATTTTAAAACGTCTCCATTGGGTCATATTACATTGTAAAATGAACTTACTACAACAGTATTATCTGAATTTTTTAGTGTTCTGTTTATCTTACAAATGCACTCGACTGATATATTATGGTTATTGCTAACTCAATACGTGGCCTCCTTAAAATGGACCTATCAGTGATCAATATTCTCGTAGCTAGGTTGGTACACTGTAAATCACTCGAGTTTCCAAGTGCAAAAGCAGACCACCAACGAATGGTAATCGAAAGTCCAGTCTGCAGGTTCAGCAGAACCGGCTCTACGAGCCAAGTATGGTACAAGACAAAAATTTTTTTCGCCGGTGGTAGGATAATATAGGTAAAAAAGAACTGACTTGTAAGGAGCCCACTTAATTTAGGCATCGAAATGACTATCGCAAGTGTGTGACATTGCGTGACAGCAAACACCACGTATCGCTTTCTCAATTTGATGAGAGCTGTGATATTCAACCCTATACCAAAAGAATGCCTATTTTTAGAATCGCGGAGAAAAATTTATTCTGATACCGTAACATACGCTCGCTGATCTGCACTTTCTCTATCTTTATCCGTAGCTTGGTGGTCGCCAGATGATAACTACCTGAAATGGTGTCTTCCCGCTGTAAGAAGCGCCTCATAGCTCTAACGTTCTGCGCTGCAATTTCGCTGTTGTTGCTTTACAAGGTCCAACTGGAGCGAACCGAGTCTGTGACTCTTCTTAAGCGAACGAAGGATTTTTCTGGGTGAGTCAAAAAGCGCAGTTATACTAGCGTAACTTCCATATTTTCTGATAAAATCTCCACTCGTATAACTCATAGATTATGGCTTTTTCTTCTCCTCTTAAAAGTCGTCTGTTTTGTCGATCTCTACGGCAAGTATATTACAGCTTAACACCAGCAGGAAATTATTGTAGAGTCTTATTCCTGTTTATCCTGACACGAAATTTCGTTGGCGCAAATGGACCTGGAACAAAAGTATTTTTACCGTCATTTTATCTGAAACTCTGTATCTTTTTCACCAAACTGTTAAAGGAGAATCTATTGATTAAATGGATTTTCCCCTCACATTTTGAAAACGATCCGAAGTGTTTCATGTTTATACATACTTCCTTCATCCGGTGCGGAAATCACGAGTTCGCGATTACACTTGAAACAGCAGTGAACAAAATTTTTAGCATCAGAATAGGTGATTTAATTTACAAATGGATTATTCAAATCCGGTGGAGCTCCGAAAAATTATTTCAAAAGCTTTTAGCACTGACAGATATTATCCGGCGACTGATCACAGATTGTAACTTAAGAAGCATCTGTTCGGGAGAGTCAGGGAAAACACAACAACCATTTTTTTTTCTGCGTGGGAACTAGATGGCAGCTGCTAAGAGCACAGGCGGCCCAAGCTCACGTCTCAAGAAAATCATGAAATCGTCACGCGTTGTGTGACTCGGTGTTAAGTTACGAGAGGAACCATTGAAAATTTGAACACGTTATAAGGAAAAGTATGGGGAACGAAATATGGTCGATTTACAACGATTAATATTTCGAAATATGAACAATTTAAACGTAAAATCCATAACACTTACTCACGTCCTGTGTCAAAAGACGGAAGTCATCGACAGGAATAGCTTCGTTCCTCGTATAATAGTGGTGGTTACACACACCTTGGGTTTTGGGGCCTCACGGAGGGTAAATGGCTTGGGTTTGGTTAAGCTCAGGTTTCATGTTACCCTTGGGGATGCGGTTACACAGTAAAGACTCCCCTCAGGGTCAAATATAATTAGATATTAGTTCACTGACCTGACAAATTGCGAGAGATCTATTAAGCTTAATTTCAGTGATTCTCCTGCTTATTATACGACAGTCCTCCATATTCAATTTTTTTATTTTGAAGTTGTGAGAGTTTGCTCGTTTGTTTGCTGCAATGGCGTGTGTAAATCTGGTCTTTCCTTCACAAAACCTAAATTCGATCGGCACACTCCAACGAATATAACAGTCCAGCAGTTTTTTGCGAGAAGGCACCGAAGAAGGCGTGAAATTAGCCAAGAGCATTAGAGGTCACCTCAAAACACTGCAGGCGATTTCCTGTATTAGCTACATTCTGCTTTATGATTGGCTAAGCTACCGCAGGGAGCAGATAAACCGTTTTTTACAGTTCAGGAACTGTCATGCGAAATTCTTTTGTTCTTTTTGATGTATCCAAGGAAATAACCCTGGGGCAGTTTCGGTCTAGGGAAAGCGGTTACACACAAAAACGTCCTTGCCCGTGGGCAAACGCTACTTACCCATGGGTAAAAGGGCTAGTGTAACCACGACTAATATATAACGTATTCAAATTTTCAACGGTTCCTCTCCCGGTAACCAAGTCACACAACGCGTGACGATTTCACGAATCAATCGTTGACTTTTTCTCGAGACGTGAGCCTGGGCCAACTGTGTTGAGAAGGAAGGTTTCCAACAGTGTACGCAGGCGCTGCCATGTTGATAACTCATGTAATTTGCCTCATCCATCGTTAAAGAACAAAATGATCTTATAAATCTGGCATGTTACAAAGTTCCTAACCATATTTTCGTGATCTTGCTTTTCCTGAAAGATTTGCAGGAGCTGTTCGCGCTTCGTTCACTTGTCCTCTCTGGAGGGTAGCAAAGACGGGTCCTGATCCCGTTACTTGTAAAAAGTTTAGAAAAATTCATGCGTCACACATTTAAATGGGAGAACCTCAAATCAATCCTCTTGTTAAAAGGGGTTCGGGGAACTCGCGTATCTTTCAAGAGGGAAAATCACGCCTCACGCTGTTTTATAAATTCATAAAGCACGCTCGCCTTTCTTTAAATTTTACGCGTCACGTATAAACCTTTGGCCACCCTCTCTCTGAAGCAAACTACGGTCGAATCTGTATTAGGTGGCGCCGTTTTGCGGTCACCCCGCAGTCAGCGGTCACCCAGCATTCAGCGGTTGTTTCATGTTTAAAGTTCCGAAATTTACTCCTTTTTCAACTGTGTTTGTATTGTTCTCCACCAGCGTTGAACGGTCACATAAAGCGCTACCACTCAAATAAAACTTAGCATGACCTTTAAATTAAAATTAAATCCGAAAATCAATGTTAGCAGTATTTTTGAGTGAGTTTTTGTAAATTGAGTGCCTGGTCATTCATGACAAAACATGGCAAAACATACTCCTACTCTGTGGAACCTGTGTTAACTCTTGCACTCCCAGATCAAATTTGTAATTCTCCTTACTGTCAACTTTACAATTCTTATAATGTTAGTTCAGAGAATTTACTATTGGATCATCTCTTATCTTGTTGACATTGCATTGATATTATAAGGAGAAATTCTGTCTTGGTCACTCGTGGGAGTTAAAGGGTGGGTGACTGCTTAATACAGGTTCGACTGTATTCTCCTCTTGATCTCTGTCTATAAGGTTGTTGTTTCGTGAAACCTATACGACAGTCCCTATAACAATCGGAAAACCGTAAATTCTTTGATTTGATTCTGACGGGTCGATCAAAAAAAATAACAAAGAGTGACTTGGAGGAACATGTAAAAGTGAAAGGTTAAGGGCTGGCGGCGGAAAGCGTGACACATAACACACAACATTTTTCCTTCCTTCGCTTGCTCCAGTAACGCCTTTTTTTCTGGCTTTGATCGTCTTGCGGCGGCGAAAAAACGTTTTATTCAGAACAATCATTTTATTTTCTATTTTTTGTCGATTCTTTTTTCAGTGTCATTCCTGATAGAGACAAATCTTTCACCACGAGGGAAACACACGAAGACAAAAGAAAAGACAAAACAGGAGACGATGACTTGTTTGGTGACGACGATAATGACTCGGATCAGGAGCTTAAAACAATTCCATTTGAAGCTGTAACCGACCCTCCGCGAAAGATCCACAGGGGACTGGAAGCAAATGATGAAGTTGAGGACACATTAGACTGGCTAAATGAACATGGGGTTAATCGCCCATCCGACACCACCGAAGAGGAGGTACCGCTGGAAAAGCAGGTTCCTGATCCTGACTTGTTACCGACTACAACCAAGCCACTTACAAGAAGCAAAAATGGCAGCACGTCTACTGTAAGTAACCTTGTCAAATCGAGAACATCTGAAACTGAGACAAACAAAAGTCATTCCTCTCCTTTGTTCACGTTACCGAGGTCAACCCAATCACTGAAACCAGAGATAGTTAAAACTCGAAGCGAACATCGGAACTCGTCTACAAAGGTTGACGATGAGGAATTAGCGACCACAAGTAATTCGGCAAATCAATCCTCGGATATTACTACAACACCGAGGTCAACACAACCTTCAAAATCTGAACGCGACGAGAATCTTGAAACTGAGTTGAACTCTACGTTAGTAAGCGTTTTGTTTACTAATGCTACCTCAGGAACGCAGCAAGACCACTCTAGCCTTCCTTCCACTCCATATACAACACCAAGCTCCACAGGCGCACCAACACCTGTATACACCCCAACTCCGGATCTGAATTCTTGTAAACTGCCAGAACTTGACCCATGGGACCTCTCCATTAGACATCTGTTGAGAGATGTCGGTAACGACCCCGTTTGTGGAAATGGATACCCTGTATCTGCATTTGACATCGTTGGTAACAGACTGGTCCTCTCGGGGGAGGTGGATGGTAGTTCCATCGATTTCAGTCACGTAAACGTGGAGACAATTCATCGCAATCAGGGTGATGACGGTAACGTGCATTACGAGGATCAAGGGAATCCTTTCAAATCTTCCACACAGGAATACCAACCTTCCCGCAAGATAAACGCTTCGGATTTTTTGATTCTCGACTACAGACTTAAAAGTAGAAAAGAAGTTACAACTTACTTCGCGCGAGCTGTTCCGCAACAAGATGTCATCGAAAATTCGAAACTGATTAGAGAAAAGCTCAATGGGCAAGGAGAAAATGAAGGGTTAGACTTAAATGTTTTATTGCTTGGAATTGATTCTGTTTCTGCTGCAAACTTCCGCCGAAAGATGCCGAAAACGATAAACTATCTTAAGACGGCGCTGAAGACGTACTTCATGTCCGGTCAAACTGTAGTTGGTGATGCTACAACACCCGCACTTACCGCCATTTTGACAGGCCTGTACGAGACAGAACCGCCCGAGGGCCGACAAGGGTATCGCAATGCCGCCCCCATTGATAACTGGCCCTGGATTATGAAACTGTACAAGGAGCGCGGATACGTTACATTGATGTCTGAAGATGACCCTACCATGGGTGCATTCAATCTAAGGCTCATGGGCTTTAGGGACCCTCCTGCTCATCACTATATGAGGCCGTTTTGGCTGGCACTGGAAGAAAAGGGCGAGCGAGACGAACCAGGATTATGCTCGCGTTCGACATTTATGGTTAATTATACCCTAGACTATATCCTCAGCTACTTTGCAGCGTATCCAGACACCCCAAAATTTACCTACGCTTTCATGTCGTACCTGACTCACGCGCATCCCAATCATCTAAGTTATGCTGACAACGACATCTTGCGACTGCTCCACACTTTTGTCGAACGCAATTACCACAACAACACTATGATTATACTATTTGGAGATCACGGCTCGCGAAATGACGACGTCCGAAATACTATGCAGGGAAAACTGGAGGAAAGGTTACCTTGGCTCTCTATCTCGGTTCCTGATTGGCTTATAAGGAAATTCCCGCATATAGGGTTGGCCTTGGAACATAATCAACACATAATAACATCACCGTTTGACATGCATGCCACGTTACGTCACATCTTAACATACCCTAAAGAGCCTCATGGAGAGAAGACACAGAGCTTGTTCACGCAATTACCACATACAAGGACTTGCAGTGATGCAGGTAAGAAAGAGTTTACAGTTAAAACTAAATTTCGGTGCTTTTGGCTTCTAAGATTTCTCCTGTACTGGATGCCCTTTGTCGAGTTTTCTCGCGCAGGAAAGTCAGCGTGCCCTGAGAATTTGACGTTCTCCACTTATAGTTTTGACTAAAGATTTAACATCAAAGACAGGTTTCTCTATTGCTCCATACCAGCCCGCTGGTGCACTTTGGTCGGTCAAGAATAACGTGCTGACAATGATTTACAATTTTAAGTCAAACAAAAAAAATCCGCTGAGTCTACAGAACGCAAATGTTTTCCTCAAGATTCTCTTATCCATTTAGAATACATTATGAGCTTCTTTGTCAACCAAGGATCTGTTCCGAATCTTTTTCGCCATGGCGCTATGTCGTACAGTTCAGATTATTTTCGAGTGCTTGTGTGCATATTGTGTGCATAAAACACTCAAAAAATTCAAACTAACTTTTATTTTCATAATTGCCGTCTTCCAACACCAACTTAACCCTTTAACTCCCAAGTTAATTCTCCCCACCAGCTGCAACAAATTTCCTAGTCACGTGAATATGGTGGAAACAGAACAACAACTCTTACCTGATAAGTTTGAGTTTTCTCATTACCTGTTTGCTGAATAATAAATGGACATTATCTTGGAAAGTTACATTTTAATCACTTCAGGGAGTTAATTTTTTTTCAACTGAAGACTGACAACATTTCCTTTTTTTGCTTTTTTGTTTGTTTGCTTTTCACAACAAGGAGTCGACGATCACTGGTGCCCATGCCTGGAGTTTACTGAGGTAAACGCAAGCAGTAAGGATGTGATTGGTGGAGCAGAAATGGCTGTCAAATACATTAATGACGTCATCCTAAGTAGAACAGAGCTACTAAGAGGGTCTTGCGCTAAGGTCCAGCTCAAAAAGATTTTAAAAGCTGTTAGCTACAGACCAAATGACAAACTGCGGAGATTTAGTAGCACCAATCAAGATTCAGATCGTGCCGTGAATTTCGGCGAACCAACTCCAGACAGTAGTCACTACAGAATCAATTTTATGACAACCCCTGGTGACGCATTATTTGAAGCAACAGTGGCCGTGAGAGATGATCACAAAGTCAAAGTGAACCCGTTTATAAGTCGGACAAATGTTTATGGAAATCAGCCCAGCTGTATTTCACGTAAAGAACCTTACGCTAGAAAATTCTGCTACTGCAAGGAAATGAAAGCTCCAGTTTAATTTATTTAATAATTTGATTTACACTATATTAGTAATGTTGCGCAAAAAGTTGAGTGAGGTGCGACGTAAGTTTGGCGACCACGTTTTAATTTAAAGTCGTTTTGTTGTCACGGGCAAGTGGCTCCGTTTCCAGTGGCACCATATCATTTGACCTCTTTAGGGGAGGGTTGCCCGTGGCAACACCGTTTTTCACTGTTTAAACACGATACAAAAGTTTTTTCCGCGCCTAACTTAACCGAACACCGTGGTATATCTAATGAATCGACGGCTTTGTCCAGCCCCATTCGGACGTACCTCAAATAGTTACGATCGATTTTTGTAACAAACCATCAAACTCGCATCTTAGCGACTAGCATCGAATTACGCGAAGTTTTGAAAGAGAAAACGCGCACGCCTCTCTGAAGCATTCGCTCAGTTATCAGAGCCTCGAATTCACAACTACACGGACGTACGTAAGTACCTCGGTGTGGAGGTGGTAACATTATCCAATTGGATTGATTTAGATGTTATGCCAGCGAATTGAGAACAACTGAACTTATCAAGTGAAGATTCAAATTCTCCTTTGCATAGCATTTAGAGAACACTGATGCCGGCAAGGAGAGTCAATGGATGCTGTGCAAAATAGAAATGTTAAATTATTAGACTAAAAAAAGAATAGCTAGTGATGCATAGAAACTATTTAATTATGGGACATTAATTTATTTTGAAATCAATATAAACGAAATTTTTGGTAACCAAAGAATTTTCATAGATTTTCTTTCTTTATTGGAGGTTAGTTGAATTATTTGGCATATGACCAGGTGCCAATTGGGTGAAAAATAGGAGGTTAGAGTTAGCAAAACGAAATATTGAAAATATATATATTTATTTTATTTCTCATATTATAAAAAATACTACAAGAATCATATACCAGATGGCTATTGAAAAAGAGTAGGTTTATTCAAATTGATAAGTACCTTCTTGATAATTATATATGGAAAAAATTAACTTTTCTTTACATGTGCATCGTACTCTGTGTCAGCAGGGGTTGTAATCTATGACTTCACTAATAAAGTTCTTTTTCGTTACAATTAGTTTTGTGGTAGAGAGGCTTTCTTGGAGAATTATCTTAGGCGGAACGAGTGAAAAAAAAATGCTTTTGAAGAAGAAATTAAACATAAAAAAGAAGAAAAGAAAAGAAACAGAAAGACGCTCGGGATCTCAGACTTCTCGTTTGAGAGGGGAGGCCGTTTCTATTGCGCCAAGTATGCTTACGGGTGGCAGACCTGAGTAGATTATATGGATAACGCGAGACTTTCTTAACCAACGCCCAGAAAAGAAGGGGAAAAAAGAAATCTTGTGATGTAATTGAACCTAAGAATGTAAGTTGGAAAAATACAGTAGTGGTGGTGCTCTCAAATTTTGCAATCTTCAATAAATCGAGAGGGGAGCAACACAGTCCGTAACTAATCAGTATGGACCTCAAATTCGGTCAAAAAGAATTATATCTTTGCAAATATTCAGCCCTCGCCCACCGGGGAGAACTCTGAGAACGAGGTTGTTTGGTTCTTCTGACTGCAAGGACTGGGAACTACTTGAGCTACCATGAGGAACATGGAGAATGTAGTTGGAGAAACAGCACTATCATTTGACATGAAACTCCGAGAGAAAACGGCCCTTCAGCATCACTTAGATTTTAAAGCACACATATATTCATTCGGTTCTTTCGTTTGAATTGATTATGAATGATTTCCTTGGCTGCCAGACACAAAAATGTTGAAGGTTGATGTCCATATACTCACCGCTGGACACCGAAACATCTGAAACTCGTGCAAGGATAAGGTACATCTGAAGGCTGTTTTGTTCTGTACATTTTTTTAATTTAATTCTAGAGATGGTTTTCCCGAGCGTTATATTTTTATTCCTGATAATCTACTGTTTAATTAATTCATTTTGATTTTATTTTTGTACCCGAACGCGGGAAATTCAAATCTTCCCCTGAGGGCTCTGCACTCTGATGGTTACATTTACCGAAGACTGAGTAGATAGCTGTATCTGTGCGATTCTGCGGTATACTACCCACTGCAGATGCATACAAGATGGTTTAATCCAGTCTAAACAGTGTTGATTATTGTATCCATTGCAGACAGAATAAATTGCAGTATGTAGCCATGTTTTGTAGACACTGCAGATAGCTGTCTGTTTATGATATAAACACTCTATAGGTGTATATAAAGTAATAAAGTTAAGAGTTTCTTAAGCTGACATTTCAAGCTTTAGCCCTCCATCAATACGCAAAACATAAGGTTTAAAAACTCTTTACAATGGCCAATTTACTTTTTCAAATCAGTTGATAAAACCAAATCTCTTGTATTTAATAATAACGTAGACAGGGTAGATAGCTGCATCCTCGGTGGACTACAGCTTAGATAGCTGTATCTAATACATACAATGAAGATAGTTGTATCTATATTTATAGCAATGTGGATGGATCTATCTCCCAAAGTCAATATCAGGTCTTGCAAGAGAAATTTAATTTTTTCTGTCAAAAAACATGACCTAAAGCATAAAAACAAACAAGATAATTAGCACAGTTTAAAGGAAGATTCTGAAATTTATAAGGAAATTAAAAAAGTCTTGTCCTTGGTCAAAGAAGAGTCATCTTTAGATAAGAAAGGTTGAAAACTATTTCTTGAAAAAAGAAGTCATTGAATGTGATGTGCTTTCACATCATGCAAAGCCCTCTGCTAACTTAAACCTTTTCCATGGAAGTTCCATTACACGGTGAGCTATTTACTACACAATCTAATTTGGGTTCAAACCGTTAACTAAACAGAGAAGACATGTTTTGATTGATGAGGTGACCAATTTCTGATAAGATGATATTAACCTTTTATCTCCCATGAGTGACCAACACAGAATTTCTCCTTATAATATCAATACAATATCATCCATATTAGTGATGAGAATGAAGAAAAATATCAATTTGGGAATAGTTCGTTGATCCAATACTAGATTCTGTGAACTAACATTATAAGAATTGTATGGTTGCTAGTAATGGGAATTACAAATTTAATCTTGGAGTTAAAGAGTAAAATGACACATGCTGATTAGTTATTTCAATCTTAAGCCTGTTTCTGAAACTGTAATGAGTTTCTGTGCCTAATTGATGATCACTTTTTGCAAGAGATGGGTAACAAAATGTTGAGCCAGTAAGAGTCAGTGTCACCCAAAAAAATACCTTCTTAAGTCTTCATCTTTACAAAAAAAGAAAAGCTGTTTGGGAATTGACTGTCTTTTCAGTTTCACCCTACACAACTCCTTAGTCTTGATCTGTGATGCAAAGACTTAGTCCCCCCTAAAAAGAGGAAAAATTGTTTCAGACAGTGGGCTGTCTTCATATGCTGATCAAGTGTTTGAATTGGTATGAGAGATATGTAACTGAAAGCTGACTGGCTAAAGAGTTGGTTTCACCTTACACAACCCTTCCTTAGCCTTGATCTGTGATGCAAAGACTTATTCCCTAACAAAGAGGATATATTTTTCTGATACTGGACTGTCTTTAACCACTGATCAGGTGTTTGACTTTGTACAAGAGATGGTGACTGAAGGCTGACCTGCTAAGGAGTTGGTTTCAACAAACACAACTCTTCCTTAGTCTTGATCTGTGATGCAAAGACTTGGTCCTCAAAAAAGAGGAAAAACTGTTTGAGACACTGGACTGTCTTTATGCACTGATCAGATGTTTAACTTTGCACCAGAGATGGGTGACGAATAAGTGACCTACTAAGGTGTCGGTTTCACTCAACAAACCTCTGAAAATATTTGATTAGACTTAATTTCTGCTTTATACATGAAAGCTTATTTATTAACTAAAGGAGATATATTTGTTGATTTTTGTATCTTTCAATCCTGATACAGGACAAAACCAAGAGCAGAGACAAGTTTTACTGTCTTAGATTTCAGTTGATTATTGGACCATGATCGTCTCAATGAGGTGTTCAAGGTAAGTGTTTCGTTATCGTTAAGATGCTGCACGTATTCAATTTAAACTACAACATAGAAGCATCATTTTAGATATGTAGCAGGGCTGGGCTTTTTACAGCACGTGACTCGCCTATCAGAATTTACCTTCCTTTTCGGGTGGAATGTAAAGACAATCTCATTTACTTAGAGCTCTGTCCTTGCGCGACGAGTTCTCTTTACGGCTCAAGTGCAACTCTTCCACAAAATCTCACAAATAAAATCTCACAAATAAAATCTCACATAACCAGAGAAAAACACGTAACCTACAGCTAATTAATGTATTTAGACATTTAGGGCCTGTTTACATGAATGTGGGGGACCCAAGGTGGGTGAGGTAACCCACCTAGCCGTGGTCGATAAAAATCCCATGTTTACATACAATCTTACAACCCCGGGATGTCGGGGTGAAGTTTCTCGAGGTTGTTATCGCCATTGCGGCATAACATGCGAATGTAGGGTTGAGTTCAAAGTAAAAACGTGACTAAATCGCCGTCGAGGTTTCATTGCTAAGAGGACGTAAACAAAGGTATGTTAGCGTTTTAGCTCGTGACGCGCGTGGGACGGCAAGGAAATGTAAAAAGTTTTAACACACTTGTGTATCGCTATTGTTTGGCTCATTTGATCTTTTTGTAACATGAACGCCACCCCGGCTAGGCGGATTACCCCACCTTGAGACGTTTACATGGCAAATTGTCACCCCGGCTGACAGGGTTACCCTACCCAGCAGACCAGGCAACCCGTCTAAGCGGGTCACCCCACCTATCATGTAAACGTGATCAAGATAAAATAAGAGATTATATAGACTGGCGGGTTACCCCACTTAGGCGGGTAACCTCACCAACCTGGGGTCCCCCACCTCCATATAAACACGCCCTTCAGAACTTTTTGTTCGCTAAGTGAAAACCAAGTTTTCAGAAGAAAGAAAGAATTTGGCTCTTTGGCTTACATAAGAGTAAAATCGAATTTAAAAAAAAAGCAACAAGGACGAGAATGTTCCAGCCCTAACTAACGAATGCGAACCTAATTTCGTCTATTCTTAAACTCAGCAGTTAATTTTTTAAGAAGCCAGGTTTTCTCGAGCAGATCCTTTTCGTTTTCAACCTGCAAAAATCCATTCGATTCACTGCTTCACTAAACCGCCAAATTTAAGAGCTAGTTTGACTTAAAATCTTCAAGAAATATTCTGCCAGTCGCTCTGTAAATACCAAACTTTTGCAGCGCTTCCCGGCAATGAAAGCATCCGAAACCGGCTTTCGTTCTCATGAACTTCTACGTCCTCCAAGAAAGCAAGCGGCCGTAAGCTGTTTTAAAGGAAACTTTTGCCTGAACCTCTGGTTCCCTATTAAAGCGAAATGCATCCGCGTTTTGAGTGATCGGGTAATAAACCCTAGCTTGCTGGAAGAATTTAGACGCTTCCAGGTTGTATGCTTCTGATATAGGCCTGTTGGTATAGGATCAAGTAATACTCAACAGCTTTCAATATAGGATTAAAAGCCAATGAATCTTTTATGACTCACTTAAGTTCAAAGTCTCCTTAACTGTCTCTTCAGGTAGATTGGTATAACTCAGATTGTCAATTTGTTTGGAGGCGAATAATGTTTTAGGCCGGCTTTGTTATGGCGCCCTTTGATATGACGATTTTTGTTCCCTTTCACATGGTTGCCACAGGTCGGGGAAAGTTCAAGGAAAAAAATGTTTTCAATGTCAGGGAATTTCACGTTGACTTAGGGAAAATTAAGGCTTTAAAAGGAGTCTAGGAAAAGTGAAATCTGTAGTAAATATGATCTCATTCCTCTTGTTTTGGCCTCTTCGTTTCCCCTTCAAATGCAAGCCCAAGTAGGTTTTTGAATAAAATCATACATTTTCTTCTCTCGTTTATTTTCATGGTTTTCGAACTTTTTCAATTCTTTGGTAAATTTCACGGACATGAAACTTGTTTGATAGGAAGAATATTTTATTAACGGAAATGAACGGCAAGCTGATGTTGGGTTTCCAAGAGATACAATCCTTTTCCCTCGCTACGTTAAGGAATTCTGGACCCATGTACTCTACATGTGACTTGCTGAAAGCCTGATGCATGGTTGGGGAGGATGTGTGATGGAAGGTCGGAGGCCATTATCCGGACTGATTTGTTACATTTTTGATTCAGTTTATCAGGGGAATTGTACATTTTTCTGGGAAAAGTCAGGGAAACTCAGCAAATTTCAAAACCTGTGACAACCATGGTTAACGTTAGCATCTTGCCTGAACGACAGACTAGTTTTGCCTGAATTATGCTATTATTTTTAGACAACTTATTTTCAAAAACTCTTCAGGGCTGGTCTAATTAATGTTTATGGTAACATAGCTTATTATTTCGTGGCTTCATTTACCTCCATTTTCCTTTTTGATGACATTACCTGGGAGCTGACACAACATTAGAGGCTAGTGGTTCTCAAAAACTTTTCAGGGCTGGTCTAATTAATCTAATTAGTTTTGTCTCCTGAAAACGGCAGGTAGTTATTTGGTCTTTCGATCGACTAAATGCGAAATGCACCAAAACAAACTTTTTATGTCAATTCTTTAGCTTTGATCTGAAAATAGTTTTAATTTTCAACTCGAAAATTTGTCGATCAGTTGTATCTTAAATAATTCGGATTATTACAAACAATAATTGAAACGAATTAATTGTCAGAACTGCTAAAATGTTTCGTTATTTTCAATTTCAGTGATGTGATTAAGATGAATGGACAAGTTTAATTTTAACCGGTGGTCCTAAAATTTGTGGCTTAAAGGGTTAAAAATATATTTAACCAGAACTAGTGGTCTTGAGTTATAATCGTTTAATTTTCCTGGTCTCTTCGATGCCGGAAAAATAGTATTAGGTAAAAATGTGACTTTAAATAATTGTTGTGGCGTAGTTGAACGAAAGCTTGTGTAATTCTGTTCTGATGGTCCAGAAATTGTCTGTGAACAGTACATTTTTAACACTGCCAATTTGTATGTATACAATTATCGCGTACCTCTCCTCTTCCAGTAACCCCAAAGATTACAAGTGTAAAAAAGAAGGTCAAGAAAGACGAGAATACTTTTTATTCCGGTGAGTGTAGCTTTGTAGTTCACTTGAACGAAAACTTGTGTAATGGAAGTTTTTCATGATCTTTTGAGAGGAAAAATTTGTGTCGTCCTTGTTATGAAGGACAGAGGCTTGTGGAGGTTTGTCTTAGTCTTGTGGCCGGAAAAGTTCGTTTGTCGGTAACGTTGTTATGGCTCAAATTCTTGGTTTTGAATTCATTTCCCTGTTTTGCAGGTTTCTTCGACCACCCACCGCTGAATACCAGGGAACACGATCGCCTTAAGCACGAGACTAAAGACAAGAGACAAATATCAATCTTGGAAAGAAAGAAAAATTGGATCGACCCCCAATTCAGAGAATAAAATGAAAAAATGGGGTTCGATCCGTCCACCATTCCCCATCACACCCGCCTCTATTAGACACCTTATAACAGTTCTCTACCTTGGAAAGTAACCAAAAGCAGTTACTCTTGATAAGTCATCTACTCTGTGGTACAAACATCTTTTAATACTCAGACAGTACAGTACTACATTAGAATCTTTACCATACACTACACATCTTATAATACAGTAATATTACAATACTCAGACAGTTTTTTTTTTCACCCATCCGACCTCCCCCGCCGCACCCACCTCTGGCAAACGGTTTTCTTAAGTCATTCTAAACCTAGTCAACCTTGTGGTACTAACATTTATTTCAAAGTCATGCTTTTTGTGTAACCAAATGTGTGTCTTTAGACACATGCGTATTACAAGATGTTGTTACCACAACGTACACATGTATTTTACAAATACTTAAAAATTTCTATAAGAGACGGGTGTAGAAGGGGTTAGGTGGCAGATCGACCCCAAATTTTGCATTCTCTCCTTGGTTGATATTTTTCTCAGGACTCTTGCTTTCCTTCTCGTCAATCTGAAGTAAATTCAAGAACATAATTTAATATATAAATAAATTTGAAAGAAAAAATTAAAACAACAACATAGAATGAGATGAGTTTTTTCTCTGTAACTATACATTGTTCCGTCACCTTATTCCATAGATATTTAAAACTGGCCGCAAATTAACGACAACATTTACTACGAGAAAAGGACAGTACAAATTATCAGAATGACAGAAAGGAAAAGCAAGAAAAGAAAAGAAAAGAAAACCGAGGAAAAGAAAAAACCATAGACCGAGTGCTGCTATTGAATTTGAGTCTTTGGAAAACACTTCAATCCCTCGGGTAGCGTAGAATTTGCTTCTCACATGGAATTTTCATAATGCAACGTCTGCTCTGATCATTACTTTCTATAATGGCTCCACAACGTCAATAATAATTAAAAAAAAAAGAATTAATGTTTTCTTCAGAATTTCGCTAGAGGGTAGATTTAATTACCGTCTCTAACGGCGCCACACCTCATCTTCAGCATAAGATATGTTATTAGCGTTTAGTTTCAAATGGAAACGTGAATAGTTCCTTTCCTCCTTCCAAGCAAAATTTGGCGAATTAAGGTTGTTGTTTTGCAGAGGATAGCTGAGAAATATACAGAATTTTAAAACGCACGTGTTGAACAACTGATGCGCTCATTAAACCTTTTGTTTGGCCACGTTCTCGTTGCTAAAGCCGTCGTGGTTTGCTTAAGGTCTTTGTTTTCAAACCAAACCTCTGAATTAATGAAAAAAAATTACCATAATTAGGTAAGACATAGAAATTTCTAACCTGAAATCAGTATATCAACATATCAGCTTGAAACTTCAATTCCTGAAGACAATACAAGCAATTCATCCACTACTGCAATCTTCAAATAAATCATTGTCCATCTGAAAAATATAATTTGTGCAAAACATATTTGCGGGTGTAAATACCTGCCAGATTGCTTCACCATTTACTGAATGTTAATCTTTGGTTAACATACATTTATATCAGAAAAATTAAAAAAGTAATAAAAGAAAAAGCAGAGCCAAAGTGAATTCCATTTCACTACTCTTGCCAATTTCCCTACCCCTCCACCCGAGAGGAAAGAGGTTGACTCTAACCGAAAATTGGTAGCTGATTATTTTAGCGCTGAAAAAAGCGACAGTACATCACGACCACACATTTACCGTGGCATTAAGTCACATGGATAAAGTTTTAGAATGGCCAAGTCAGGGCTGGCCTCAGATGTTATTGCTGCTTCTTTTCCAAAGGCTATTACAACACGTTCTGTTCTCAAGAGCGAATAAAAACGCAAAAACTGGGTAACTGTACGAGTCGTGAGGACACAATTCAAGTATACAAAGTCTATGAGTAAACTTGGTAAACGATGTTGTTGTTTAGATGTAACTTCCCCGAAAGGCAGCTGACTCACACTAACAGTAACGAACTATATTCTAACAACTGTTTGACAATTCGTCTGACTGTAAAACATTCTTAACTAAAATGCGCGCGTTTCAGAACTGCTCTCGATCGTTTCATTTTGCCCCCACTACTCTGAGTTGACTTACTGAATTCTAGATTCCTATCAGTACTCCATCTACGTTTTGAAAAATAATTGAATGAAAAACTATCTAACGAACCCAAAAATTCATACTATACCCCACAAGTTGCAGCCTACAAATACACGCAAATTCACTCGGTAGAGCCGAAAGTTTTAGAATAAATCTCGCGTACTACGCGCCACATTTCGTTTGTTTTTGGTATAGAAATGTGTGAAGATGAGATTAAATACACAGAATCAAACTTAAGTGAGAACTCACAGTGCCACTGAATACCTGTTTGTGACTGGTACTTAGAAGTGCACACGACCTTGTTGTGTGAAGTTGTAGTCTAACTGTGACTTAAGGCGTGGCTTCCTTTGTTTGTGTCGGATCTGAAAACAGAAATGGTTTGCAAAAAGTTTGAGTCATTGGGTTTCTTCCTGTTTGATTTGAAGACTTAATATAAGTGTAACCAATAAGGGCATGATGATCATTTATAGAAAGTGGCAATTACATAGGCTTGACTAATCCAGATAACGGGTTTTTGAACGCTTGGAATACTGCTATAGTCAGCCCTTGTACAAGAAAAAAGGAGACAGTTGCTAGGTTTCCACGACTGACTTTCACATCATCCCCAGTGAAACAATATTCCGGTGGTGTATGTAAGTCAAAAGATATGGTAATACACATTTTTCTTTGAATTGAAAGAGGGGTACATTGTAAATACTTTTTTCTTGTCAAAGATTGCCCTTCTCAGTTTCCCAGACCAGCCCAGAAGTGAAAAATAAAGTTGAGCCTATCAGAGAGAAATAGTCGAATGGAAAGGCAATAAATCAATTCAACACCCAAGTACATGTTCATGTAGGTTCAGTATGTAATCATTCAACATAAAATAATTAATCACTCTATAACTTTCTCAATAACTCAATATGTTATCAATTCAGTTGATCAGTCAGTCAGTCAGTCAGCCAGCCAGTCAGTAAGTCAGTCAGTCAGTCAGCCAGCCAGTCAATCAGTCAGTCAGTCACCCAGCCAGTCTGTCAGCCAGTCAGTCAGTCTGTCAGCCAGTCAGTCAGTCTGCCAGCGAGCCAGCTGGCAAATCAGTCAGTCATCAGTCAGTCAGTCAGCAAGCCAACCAGTCAGTCAGTCAGTCTGTCAGTCAGTAGTCTGTCAGCCAGCCAGCCAGTCAATCAGTCAGTCTGTCAGTCAGTGGGTCAACAGGTCAGCCAGTCAGTCTGCCAGCAAGCCAGCCAGCCAGTCAGTCTGCAAGTCAGACAGTAAGTCTGTCAGCAAGCCAGCCAATCAGTCAGTCAGTCAGACAGCAAGTCAGACAGTAAGTCTGTCAGCAAGCCAGCCAATCAGTCAGTCAGTCAGACAGCAAGTCAGACAGTCTGTCAGCCAATCAGTCAGTCATTCAGTCAGTCAGTCAGCCAGTCAGCCAGCCAACCAGTAAGTCAGTCAGTCATGTATTCTAGTGAAGATGAATGAACTCTTTGACCTACATGACTCCAAAATAGTCTACTTCTGGCACTTCATGGATTGAAACAGCTCACCAGAATGCTGAAGTTGTCACACACCAAAAACCATCACTCAAGACCGACAAACATTTCAGATAAACTGTCAGGAGTTAGGACTGTCAAGGAAACATAAGGAGGCAATTTGTCTGGCAGCAAACTGTAATTCAAAGATCTGTCAGTCACACAGTCAGGTTACAGGCTTGACTTTATTCTTTTTTAAGTTTCTGCAAGTCAAATGAACATTCCCTTCTGTATAATTGGAATTGGAAAAAATATATCTGCTTCATTTGTTACTCCTGAAGTAGCAATCCATTTGTTGACAATTTACCCTGTACCACTCTTTTATTCTTATTTGAAAATGGCCATCCTATTTATTTCATCTGAACTTCTTAAATACCCTTAGAAGTAAAACTGCACTTGGAAGACAACTCATTTTGATGGGAAAAAAAAGCAAGACATTAACTGTTTTAGGTAACAGCATGACTGGTAGAGGTATTTGACGATGATACTGCAAGAATAGAGATGTCTAGTAACAGATCAAAGATGTCCTCAAAATCTGGTAAGAACAAAAGAGTGACACATGAGGCCCAGGCAATTGTACCACTGTTGTTCCTGATACATTTTAACATCTCCTGTGATCTGTCACTGAACTGAACATAATTGTTTTATATCATAAAAAAGCAAAATTTTGTTACTTGTGGCATCATCTTTGTCCCTGTCCTCTAATAAACCATAGATAAGAACCAATCAAAATGTGTGTAAAATTCAACTTATCATATAGATACAAATAGATTAGAATCACACAATGTCAGGAAGTACAGTGTATTTGTGATGAGTGCACTTCACACTTTCTGCTTCAGACACTATTTGATAAACAAGTATTACACAAAACGTCTCACAGTGTAAGTTTGCCTTCCAAAACCGTTGAGAAAGAAAACGAAGAAAAAACTGATCGAATGCGAGTATTATAACATGTTGTTATGGATCAAGCGTTATCACTTTGGTATCTACCTATAGAATTGCATTGAGCTCGTTTCAAGCCTCGTCTCATGCCGGACTGAGACCTTAAACAATGTTTCAAAAAGAGCTTATCCTCACCACCAAGGAATGGGCCAAAAAGATCCGCGACAGAAGACCTCAGGAAGGTGACTAGGCGACAATACGTAGGTCAAAATAAAATGTAACAAAGTGTGCAAATTACTGTTTATGTATCGAGGATCGATTTACTCGACAAATTGTCTCTGTTCTCAGACCCACTTTTGTGCCCAGTCAGTATTCTGCAGCTAGAGACCCGACTTAAAATCTTATAGCTTCAGGATTATCGTGCTCAAATAAAAGTTACATTAATGACGATCGTATTTGTTCCTTACCTTTACCTTGTAGTTGAACTGACTGTCACACGTGGTCTCCATTTCAGAGATTTTCATCCACTGTGAGGCCATTTTTCAATTCATACACTATCAAACAAGAGAAAAAATGTATTGAAAGACAACTGTTGTCTAAGCTGCTGTTTTTGCCCCTGCTTGGGAAACAGAATGGTCAGTTAGCATCCATCGCTATTAAAGTATCACAAAAAAGAACTTTAAAACTTTAACTAGTTCCAGTGTTTTTCGTCCAATAGAGCAAATGCGTCACGCATGGCTCGTCACGCAACATGCATAGTTGGGCAGTGAGCTACCATCTATATTGTCATTTGACAATGGTATCTTTTTTTCTTTTAAATATCAATATATTTTTTTGATAACGATGGGATACTGCTGGTACTGACTATAATCTAGCCCAATCCAATCACCTGGTTCTGACTCCATGGAGAGATGTTGCTCTACCCAAGTACCCTTCTCAAATAAACACTTGTGCAGTCAGACAGTTATCATAGACGCAAACGTTAATAACTTAGTACGCGTTAACCTGCGTTTTTCCAGTGAGGGAACTAATTTCAGCGGATTCACGAAGATCCTTAAAATGTTTATGGTACATAAACGAAATGCTAAACGAACGTAGCTGCATTCGCGAGCTTGTATTTCTATTAATATCCGTTGGTTTTGGCAGTTTTCTCGTCCCCTGGAAAGGTGGCGTGCCATTTATGCAAGACAAAGACCGTGCACTACGATAAGATCTCCTTAAAGTCATGTCGCATTTTAACAAACAAAAAAAAAAAGAGTCGTTGTGTGGTATCTCAATTAACAAAAGTTTCTTCACTCTTGACCGCGGCACATTTTGGATTGACAGCATTTACAACACTATCCTCGTGTTACCCTGAATTCAGTAATACTGATTTTACCCTTTAACTTCCAGAAGCGATTAATTTGTTACTTCTCTTCATAATATCCTCACATTATCCAGCAAACAGGTAATAATATTACTTCAACTTATCAGGTAGAAGTTTTTGTCTTGATTTAACACCAAATTCCTGGTGACTTACATGACAATGTGCGGCAGCTGGAGGGGAGAAGTAAAAATCAGATCTTGGGAATGAAGGGTTAAGTAATAAAATGACGAACAAAAAAAGGAAGAATCAACAACAAAAAAATTCTTTATTGAATTTATTTGTCACTCATATTCCACTAAATTTTTCAAACAACCGCGAGGAATCACTGACATGTTACGTTGTTTCCCACTACTTCCAGCAATACTTTGGCTCAAACTTTCACACCGAAGCGTTATCGAAAACTCTGAGATTCTACGAAAAAGACGACTAAGTACAAACTTTTCAGAACCTATTTATCTCAGCTCAACTTTACCACTAGCATTTCCTAATTTTGCCATATTAATAATTACTATTTCAATATTAAAATTTAAAAGTTACCTGTTCTATCATTTCATTCGAGATTATCTAACACTTCATCAGTCATTTAACCTTTTTCTTTTCAAAATTATATTTTAAGCCTCGCATATGCCGTTGCGACTCCCACATCATTCTTGAACTAACTCAACGAAAATCAACAGAAATCAGATTTCTCGTGCTGATCTATCTTTGAAGTGTCGTGCTCAAGCAAGAACATGAAGCTGTGCAAAGCTATCAGCTAATGATCTGTTCAACAGTGGCTTTTTAGAAAGGTTTCTGTCATGGCAACCACTGGCGCCCCAGTAGGAACTTGTGGGAATGTTCCACTTGATCCAGCAATGTCAAAGTGAGAGTAGCAGAGTGGCTGGTTTGAGTCAATACCATGCTAGTATGAAAAATAAATAAATGAATAAATAAATAAATTTAACAGATAAATTCCATATTGCCGTGCGTTTGTTCATAATAGATCGAAAATGACGTCAACATGTGGTAAGGACAAAAAGGGCCAATTACGCGCAACCTTGTGTGTCACCGATGTTTTACCACATTTTGACTTCTCCTGTGATCTATAACTATGCAGACCCACAGCAACACGGAATCTATTTGTTTTATAAGATAAAGAAGCAAAATGTTGTTAGCGGTGACGTCATCTTTGCGCTTCTCCTCCAGTAAACCATAAGAGAGAACCAATCAAATGCGTGTATAATTCTGCTTATTATTACTATATTTAGTGATAACAAAGTACAACATATTGATTGTTCGATGTTTCAAACTAAAAAATAAGAGATCTTCACATCCAACCAATCGATGCACGATTAGCTACAGTGTACCCAACTGCAGAAAAATTTCATCGAAGTAGCGCAGAAAGAAAAAACCCCTCTTTACAAAGTAACATTTGAACTCACCTTATCAAGTCCTGAGGCCCTGATGAGGAAAGCAGCTGGGAACTGATGTCCTCTGGGTGTTCTACTGGATGGAGAGTTATTACACTGCAATACGTCTGCGTACTCTGAATGGGCTCTGACGAAGTCGTAATCCTGAATAGAGTCAATAAATTTGTTAGCTGGGTTCCCTGTTTGTTTAGTTTTCGCTCTTTAGGACGAAAGGATCTCCATGACTTAGAATATTCTGTGTTTGGCAAAGCGAAGGTTTATAATTTTTTATTTTAGGACGAGGCTTGTGAAGTAACTGAGTGAAATTTACGTGAAAACCAGTAAAGAGGACTGTTGGTCCTTGAAAATCAAACAAAGAACAAACACAACCTATTCATATTAGTTCAATCTTGCCGAGTTTTTAACACGGATTTGGAAATAACAGTGTTAAACAACTTTTCTGCATAATTTTTTGTGATAACCGTGTAAGATTAAAAGCGACTTAAATTTAACCCTCAAAGATTTTACAAAAGAAATGCACACAAATGAATACCAATGAACACTTCCCAACGCCGCAATATCGCAATATCGGTTTTCTCTGTAACTAAATGAAAACTGGTAGTAAAGATGTACGATACACGAGGCAGTTGTGAAGGCAAAAGAAAAGTGACATTTAATTTTCTTTTTATCTGGTTTTCGTTTACCACTGCCTCACGTTTAACCCTTTGCACACTAACATCAGTTTGAATATTCTCCATACTGTTCTCTGTACATTTCCTAGGGTGCTACTAATGAGAATTTGTTTTAACAATCAAGAGCTTCTTTAACTGGTGACCATTTCCTTTATTCTCGTTACCTAAATAAGTCTGATTCTGATTCTGAGTCGGGAGAAATTAGATGTCAGTCAATGAAGTCGTTGAAGGAGAATTTCAGGCAACCCATTCGCTTTTTTTCCTTTCTCTTGAAGACAAAAAAATTCAGAGATTCAAAATGTTTGGCCACCGCAAAGTGAGATTGCTTACTTAAAAAAATTCACTTAAATCAAAAGAATGAAAAAAATTTAGGGTGACGACGACTTAAGACAAGATTAAGATGATAATTATATTAATAAAGCTTATTAAATACCTCTCTACGAACTGTCGAGATTTCAAACGGATCACCCATGTCATGTCCAGCTAGAAATATAACAAACAAATTGTTGAGTGAGTGTGAGAACGACTCACAATTCACGCTAGCTGAACTTTGGATTTTAAAGTTCGCATGTTCTTGAAAAGACTAGTAGTACCAGGCTTAACGAGTAAAAAGCACCAACCTTTTTGGATATTTTGAGCAAACTTGGTACGAGCTGCAGGCCCATTGTCAATCACAATCTAATAAGGAAAACAGGAAGGTAAATAAACGATGTTTCACACATCAAAGACATGAAATTCGAGTCAATATTGTACGTACCACATCAGTTCTTTTTCCAGTTCTAAGCCTCCTGATACTTAGCTAGTTACCCCCCCCCCCTCCCCTCGCTTAAGTTAAAGGCCACGTCAATTTTTTAATACTCTACCCTCTGACTTGAGCCCTAGAGTACAACTCCGCCCTTTCCCCCACTACCCTGAGGGGGATTAAACGCTCGTCTGTCAGACTATCTCAGCACTGAGTTAGTTTGCCTTGGTAATTCGCGATGTTTATTACGCGCACTTACTTGAGGTTAACAGTTTTAGCTAAAAATTTGGGCCCCAAGTAATGACTAAATCACGCTAAAATATGTCACACCTTGCAAGACTATGTTCTACCAGTTTCCTGGACACGTAAAAGCGGGTATTGCTGCAAATGTTCGCATATCTGTGGGCGTGTTTTTACGAAATGTAAGACATATTGCTCCAAGGTATGTATACAGGTGTGGTTAGTTGTATTGTCAAACTCCCTGATGAAGTGTTCGTTGGAAACGCCAAACGAGTAGGAGAAAATAAACGAGTTATGCAACTACTTGTTTTCAGAAGTGAAGCTCACTGGTTTATCTTAGAAAAAAAAATATAATGTAGTGTAGTATATCGTTGGCACAGAAAAAAAAGTAGTCGTTTAAGGGAAGTGGTCAGTTGGAGAAAAATCAAGCACAAAAGCCGAGACCTAACGGGGCCACCACTTATCACTATTTTTTGCCGGTTGCAATTACGAAGAGTACCTTTCAAAAGAACATATACCATGCAGGCAACATATTACAGTACGCTACTAGCTTTTTTTCATTCTTTGATGCTTACAGTTCGAAATGCGTTCCTTGTTAAATCACTTTCACTCACTTGGTTCAAACTAAACTTCCATTCAAGTGCCATATATGAGATACTGCATATCTATTTCCTTCGTGATGATTTTAGCTTTTTGCAATTTCTTAACAGTAATCATTGTTTGGTGGTTACCTTCCCGAACACACGAGTAATGAAGCTATCCAATTTTTTCTCCTGAAAATGGCTGCGCTCTCTTAAGAAGTTTGACGAGTGGTCAATTAAGAGGGAGTTCAGGAACTGTACTTGACTGATAAACGAAAACGTCATTCAGTCAACATGGAATCGCTTCGGTGAGAAAGTTGACTGTATAACAGTACTGACAATTTAATTACTACTTACTGAGTAGGCAGGACCCATAGCCAAGACGGCATGGCCAGTGAGAGTAGCAATTGTAACAATGTGTGTGGGAACTTTTTCTTGGAGAGCCTGAAACAAAACGATTACACATTTATTACTGGTTCAATAATGAGACAGTTACTGGGATGTAAAGCGAGATTCAATTAGTCTCCTCGGACAATAAAGGTAAAGAGGTAAACTAAAAGAAGGTGTGTGTGGGGGGGTGGAGAGAGGAGGGAATAAAATAAGGACCAAAGGTTGGGAAGGAAAATATGGAATGAAGAGAGGAAAGACCAAGAACAGAAGGAAGGAGGGAGGGGGATGATGGAAGTATAGGAGGAGTAAAGGGAAGAAAACAAAATAAAAGAATGTAATCACGAGCTGTTAAAGTTTGAAACGCTCTAAGGGTTTTAAGTTCTTCGATTTTTCCGCCCTCCACAAAAACCAGACACTCTATACTTCAACTGAACCTAGTACAAATCAAGAAGATGAAGCGCCACACCCTGGTGTTGCCAAAGCTAAATTCTCATCTAGTTCATTTTATCAAGTTCTTCATCGCTTTCTTGTTACTCTTTGATGAGTATGTTACATTTTTTTGATTTGCTTTATGTTTAAATTCACAATATTACCTTGAGTTTCATATGATGCACACAATCAGCCATAGCCATGCGACCCTCAGCATCAGTGTTACCAACCCTAATCCTGGCCCCAGCGGCAGAGGTTATAATCTCATCAGCAACATAGCCCTCTGAAATTGTACATTTATTGAATTTTTTTTGGTGATGAACTTACATAATTTAATTTTGCTTTTCTAAGGATGATAATAGTGGAGAGAAGGATTCATAATTGAAAGTATAAATTAAAGAAGCATCTCCGCTCTGGTCAGTACTAATATTGTTAATGTTGCGGAGGCTTAAGGTATTAGAGCTGATTGAAAGCGAAGGTGACATTCAAGCCTTAGAACTTTAACTTTTCAATATGTGAACACAGTTAATTTAACATGTGGCTAAGATTTGTCTAAGACGTATCATCACAGGGGTACTTAAAATGCAGAATTTCAACTTGAGACACCATTTAGACTGTATGTGTTGCTTTACCTGCACCAACACTGTTGCGTACCATGGCCATTGTACCAAAGACTTTGATTCCTTTTGGTTTCAGCATAGCAAGAGTCTGAAAGATAAATGCTGGATCATAAATCACATTTTCTACTTTGGACAGAAATTAGAAGAAAGTAAATTGGAAAAAATGCCCTATGTTACTTGATATAAAATCATTATAACATACCTGAAAGAACCCTGCAACTGCAGCTGCCCCACACTTATCCCTTAAAATTAAAAGAAACATGACAGAGATAATAATAATATTTATAACTATATGCAATCTCTATAAGGTAAAAATAACACTAGTAAAACTATTTGTATGGGATTCAATAACATTTTTAAAGTTGAACAATTTGTGTTCACATCCCTATTTAACCACTGCTCTAACCAGTCATACCAACAAGTTGTTTTCTACAGAGTCCCTCATGTTTTAGATAATAAGTCAATATACTCAGGGGTGTTTTTTTTCATGTTTAAAAGAAAAAGAAGCCATCAGATTAGGTGATCATTCTTTCAAATTTATATAAATTGAGGATTCTACACAACTTACAGTGCTCTCTGATTGGTCCCCTTTCATATTCTATACACACAACAGTGTTACAATTAAATGCATACCAAAGCCCATATTAAGAGCATCTTTACCTACTCATTCCAGCCATGACCCCACCAGCCTTAATATCTGCACCACCTGTGTCATAAGTCACACCCTAAAATACAAAGAAATGGGTGCAAATAGTTATTGTCACATCCTAACATAGAATGACATACATCAGGACACAGATAAAAAAAAACAAATTTTGGAAAAGAATGAGCAAGAAGTGTAGTATCATGGAAGAATATTTGGTAGTAATGGACTGTGTCCATCTACTATGACCAAAGGCAAAGTCAAATTTTTCAAAGGAAAAGCACAAAAGAGATTACCCAAGATGAAATTGAGTATGAACGCCCTTGGAGAATGGCTGGATAACTGGTAAACAGTACAAATTGCTTTCATGTACTAACCTTTCCAACAAGAAGGACAGTGTTTTGGATGTCACCTTCTCCCACATACTCCAAGTTGATGATTCTACCAGTGTGTCTGTCAACAACTAAAATCAATAAGCATACTTAGTGTTTCAACAGTAAACATTTGACAAACAGTTTTTTAATTAACTATTGAAAATCTCTCTTCTTCTTTGTTTTTTTTTTTACATCTATTAAATAGTTAACTTTTTAATCATTGTTAGATCTTACTAGCTTAACCCTTTAACTCCCATGAGTGACCAAGACAGAATTCCTCCTTACAATACAATATCAAGCAGACAAGTGATGAGAATAAAGAAAAATATCAATTAAGGGATTATAAGTTGATCCAATCCCAAATTCTCCAAACTAACATCACAAGAACTGTATGGCAGAAAGAAAGGAGAATTACTAATGAGATTTTGGGAGTTAAAGGGAACATGTTTGGAGAAGTTCATCACCCTATATCCATTAATTAATTAAAAACAAAATGTAATTATATTAATCTGGTGAAACCACTGCAAAGAAAAGAATTATAATGTCAGCATTGTTATTATTTAGCAATTAAAAAATATCACACATGAGGTAGGAACATGAAGGTAAAACTTTTTCCATACCAAATTTTTCTGATGACTTTGAACAGACAAACAGCAAGATGAAATCTGTATCTTAAATAGAATAACAAATTACTTACCTCTTGCACATCTATTGACAGCTGCATACAGTGGATAGTTCTTCTCAAACTCAGCTGGATCTTTAACAACTGTCACCTAAATAAAATCAGGAAGCATAAGATCGCAAAGGGATCCATGCAAGGACCCATACATGTGAAGCTAAAGGTTTTGCAGGCTGGTGCTCAAGTTGTGCCCTTGAAGTTTCTGAATACATTTCAAACAATTCTTCGAGACCAAAAATTTGAAAACTAACAACTAAAAGAAAACTTTAACATTGAGGTTGCCACACATTTAATCATGAAACAAAGTATGTTAAGGACAAATTAATAATCAAAATAGCTTACTTTAACTGGAGAACCTTCAAATAATTCCCGAATGTACTCCTCCACCCGAGGGGCAGCCATTCTTTCAGGATCTGATCCACCAATGTCCTGACACACATACCTACACAAATCACACTACAATTGGTGAAATATCACCCACAGCTCTCTCTTTTAATTTTTAAAGGCACATTGTAGTCAGTTCAGTTATGATTGTAAGAGGATTTCCATTGAGCACTGTTTCAGTTATTTGATCACCAAGACACTGACCTTGGAAAACTTAAAAGAATGTTTTCCAGTGAGAGTGGTGTCTAGTCATGGTACAATTTTGACAAAAAACCAATTGAAGGCAAAAAAGATTCAGTTTACAGTAAAACATCCCACCCTTGTTGTGAAAAGGAGGATGTAGATGTATGATTGGAGGAACAGGTTTAGACAGAAGTCTTCTGGATGACTAAAGCACAGCACTATTCTCCATAATTTTGTAAGTTATGGCTATATGTATAGTACACCATAATATGCTTACCTTCCAGAATCAATTGCTTTGATGTACTCCACATTGCAGTCCTAGAGATTGACATAGTTATGTATATTTAGTGTAATTGGTCTAGTGATTATAGAAGTGCATGCACTCTGATTGGTCAAGGATTGCATCAAATCTCACTAGGTGCATTAAATTTCAAAATGGCTGCCTTGCATTTTGTCAATGTTTCCAAGAAATTGAAAAAAGCAATGGAAGAAAATTCAATTTCAAAGAGCACAAATACTGCCACTGACTTTACTTGATTTTGCTCAAATGAGCAGAATAAATATTTTACATATCCCGACAAGCCTGTTTCGTGAATCGCTTCACTCTTCAGGGGTTTATATATATATATATATATATAAATGTATATAATAATAAATATATAATGTAAATGCACTGAATTGCATCATGTTACATGGAATTCTTTATGAAAAAAAAGTCTTGGTTTGGGAAAACTCTTTAAGGCACTATTGAAAGCATTTGTTGTAAACTGTTTAATTGTCTCTTAGATACATAACCAGCCTTGATGTTCTCTACTCTGTTACTGCATTGTTCATTAATTTGTATCTACCATTTTCACTCCCAACAATTTCTGAGCTTCTCGACTATCACTCCCTGGCTTGCAGAAAAATCCTGAAAATAACCTGCCTTCCTTAACTCTGTTATTGACTGCTTTTTATGATTACTTTCAAAAGCAGCCACCTTTTTTTCTTCAAAATGGTGTCCCCATATGCTGATTGTTGGAAGCACTAAAGGCCTTTTTTAATGGAACTAAATGTAATGATAAAACTAGTTTTATTTGAGTCAACTCACTTCACCAAACAGTACCACTCCAAGGTGATCAACTTTTTGTTCCTTGTCTGGGAAAGCTTCTCGCAGTTCAATTGGCTAAACAAGAAAGTCAGAATTATTGATAAGAACTTCAAATGACCCTTCTTCTCTAAACTCTTCAGTTACTTAATAAGACAAAAATTCCAAGGATTAGGAAATGACAAGAAAACTTGCTCATGCAGACAATTCATTTCATTAAAGGGAAAACTATTACCTTAGAGACTGTTATAGATTCACAGTACCTTCTCTTGTTTTGGTATGCTTTTCTTCTGAACATCATTTTTTCTTTCTTGTTGATTATGTTATATATGCTACATATATTAATTACGATATAAAGTATTTAACTCACAAGCTTCACAAAGCATCATTTGTGAGTAAATATTCTACCTTTCCAAAACAAAAAGTGTTTATTAGACCTCTACTATCTATCTCTACAACACCCACTTCAGTCTCACAAAGATGACATTATGGAGAGGTTCTCCAACTATAGTAAAGGAAATGCCAACTTAAGACATAAAGTCCCCCAAACCACAATAGGAACAATTATTATCTGGTAAGGTAGACCTGAGGCAAATCCAAATGTTCTGATTGATTCTTCCTCAGTCCATATTTTGCCATGAGGGCCATTTCCACAGAGAGTGCCATAATCTTAGCAATTTTTGTTCATGAAATCCCGCAAATTCAAAACAAACAAGTTTGGTCTGAGTGCCATATAATAAACTACTTATTGACCTTACTTACTAAGCTGTGCAGGGGAATAATGGCCCTCAGTCATTTTAGTATGGACCTTACTGCAGTCAGTCCATACTGCCACAACACTGGGCTAATATTTCCCAGTAAGGCCTTCATGCTTGGTTAGTAAGAAGAAAATATAACACACAATTCAAAAATAAAATTTCTAAATAGATACCTGGATTAAAGTCTGGTGGATTTTTCATTTTGGGTTTAAAACAAAGGTAAATTTCCTATATGTCACTCTTTGAAGTCATTGGATTACATATTACTGTGCCATTTTCCCCAATAGAGCAAACAGAATTTAAGTACAAGTGAAATCAAAGCATCTCTGGAAGTCATTTGACTATACCTCACACTAGAAACCTAGATTTTATGTAGTGATGACTAAATAATATCTAAATCACATGCTAAGTGATTCTTACCACATAGAGTGCATGAAGAGCTCCAAGAAGTGAAACAGACCATGCATTTGGGAATGTGTCTTTTGAAATGGTCACCAGGAGTGGGCATCTGCTTCCGCCCTTAAGAGCCCTTTGGAAAATGATAAAACACGATTATAATTTATCAACAGTGTGACAATTTCAACTGAGCCTGCCCAATGTATTTGCAACAGTATCATATCAGCCAAGGCAGTAAGGACTCACAAATGAATACATTTTTATGCAATGCAGATCTTCCTTTCCTGACATGCAAACATCTGTTCTTTGTTTTGACAATATCAATGCGGAAAATGGCATTTTTTTGCATGTGGAATGTCTTAATTTTCAAATTCCAAAATGCCATGCACCATGGAAATTATTCAGACTTGTTCTCATACAAACCAAGACTCTATTTTGATTGGCTTTCAATTTGCTTCAAGTGTCACATGGTCTTTAACCAGGTTACCCAAATTTGTTGTTAGATTAGCTCATGTCAAACGAAATTGCCTCTCTCATGATTTTTTTTCTCCTTTTCTCTGCACCTCAAAAGTTGGTTAAATATTCCCTAGATCAACCTAGATAATTCTGTCTTATTTTTCAAATCAAACCAAAATGTTCGAAATTCAATGAACATTTATTTATTAATTGCCAAAAGACAAGTGAATGATTAATTTATCACATAATCATATTACTGCACAACTAATGAGCCTGAGCCTTTCCCTGACAAAAAATTATAGTTTTTACATTTCCAGCCCACATTTTCACTCAAAGTTAAATAAAAGATAACTCTGTTTTAAGACTTAAATACAGTGCTTCATTGTTATCAATAGTCACCTTGAGGTAGGCAATTATTTTAGGTCTTTTGCTTATATTTTTGATAATTAATAAAATCTTTACCAAACATAACATGAACATCTCTTCTGTTCACCCAAGAAAAACCATGATATCAAAAAAAGAAGAAGTTATATGCACAAATGTACATATACATGTAGGAGAGAAAAAGTTGTATATAGTAACTCACCTTTTAATTCCATTCACTGCTGCATCATAGTATCGTCTCACATCATCATAATCCCTATTAACAGGGCCTGTTGGAGCATATACCTGGGTAGAGGAAATTATTAAAATATTGTATGTTGTGCAAGATGCTGTGGCCTAATAGATTGAGCGCTACCTAAACTCCAGATCCAGGGTATCTCTGGGTATGAGACCTGGCCAGGTCATTTTGAGGTGTTCTTGGGCAAGATATTCTTACAACTCACAGTAACTCTATCTTCCCTGAGATATAAAAGGTATTAACCCTTTAACTCCCAAGATCTGATTGTTAATTCTCCCCTATAACTGACATACAATTCCTTGTAAATAAGTTATGAGAATTTGGTACTAGATCAAGACAACACCTTCTTCCTGATGAGTTTGAGTATTCTCATTACCTGGTGGCTGAATTGTATGGATATTATTGGGAGAAGTTACAAGTTAATCACTTCTGGGAGTCAAAGGGTTAACAGCAACCTGTCAGGGAGGCTTAACAGAGTGTTGATGGGGAAGGAGCTAGGGAATGATCTGCACTGCACTGATATCTCATTTAACAGTATTAATATTCTTACATTTAGTTGCTTCATGCTATGAACAGTGGGATAAGCTCCCCTTAGAGGGGCCACTTGGAACAAGAGCAGACTTTTCATAGAGACAAAAATTCGTAAATTCTTGGGGAAGAAACATCCTGTGGACCTTGACAAACTCTTCTTCTTTTTACATGATTAAGGGTTACTGCATGGACCATTCATATTAACAGAACGCTGCTCCACAACTACATTTTTCATAAGTTCCTTGCACCTTATTGAAAATTTCCATGAACTTACCACTGGCAAGTCTTGGTCACAGGAAAACACCAATGTCTCAACTCCAACTGCTTTATCCACCTGCAAAATTTTGTCTCAAACAGTTAGCGAGGTAATCTTGTTGTGAGATCAAATTTCAAATAGAGTTTCACAAGCAATATTTGTCTTATTTATTTAGCTAGAGCCAAACAGTTTTCCATCAGGCTCTCCTGCTCAGTCAACACCTACATAATAATTCAAAAGGAAAGTTACAAGTACTCTATATGGATGTATCAATACCTTTGCAGCCTCCAAAATAGGAGTCTTCAGAAAATCCCATGCAGGGATACTCCAATCAAGATCTTTACACACAAGGACATAGTAATCAAATGTACCTTGCTTGGGACCATTGACAGGAAAAATGGGACATGGAAGCCTACAGAGATACAGATGCAACAATAATGTCACTGTTTTTAACATCAAATTCATATAGAAACTTCACTAGTTAACAGTTAATTATAAAACATATAAGGCCTCTAGCATATTACATTCACCCTTCGCCGTATAAAATTCTAAAACCAGTTTAATTTACTTTTTTTAATTTCCTCTGTCTAAGATAATATGATACTTCTATACCCAGTGTCAAAGGAAGACCAAAATCACACAGGTTTAAAAAATTTTGAATGGATAAAAGATTGTAACTGTATAAAGGACAGGCAAGCAATAAATTAGACAATTTTTTTAAAAGCTAAATCATCATGACAAAGAGCATGAACAGTGAAAAACATCAAGTACTGGAATTACTCCAGGAGATATGCGATTATAGCTTTTGCTGAAAATGAGCAAAAAGTCTCAAATTATACCAAAAGTTAAATGCTTATGTTTTTGTAAGGTAATTTATTTAATTTTAATCTTTTCTTGCAAAAGAGATGGAGCTGAACCTCTCTGCAAATATCTGTATTCTAACTTCCTATCATCTTGTAACCTGATATGCTTGTTTTGTCTCAAAGGGGATGTAATCCTGGCACAAATCCAATACAAATTAACTTATTCAGAGAGCATATAACAGAAGATATTCCTTATTAAGATCATGCATTCATAATCCTTCTGTGACAATAGGTCATGTGACTTCAAGAACCAATCAATTTTGTCTCAGCCGTTAACCCTTGAGACAGCTGTTGTTATTATGAAAGTTTACTGTGTGTTGTCAATTGAACTACACCCATAACCAAGCCATGACAGCATAATCTAACACCTTTCACATGATTTTGTTACTTTAGTGGTTACACATTTATTATGAAATAAAATATGAATGGAAGCTAGCTTGTTTTTGATCAGGTAGGCGGTGGTTTTAGTATGAAATAGAAACAGTTCCTATGTCAATAATTAACAAAAACATGGGACATGTGCCAAAAACCAAATGGACGAGGTTTCCATGAACAGCAGGCCAATATCTACAACTGACAGATCTAAATAAATTCAATGTCTTTAGAGCAACCTTGGCTTACAAGGTAACCACATTTGAAATTGACACTTGAAGCTTAATGCAAATAAAAAAAAATTGCACCAAGTTTGAAACACAAACACACCATCTGATATCATGCACAGGGGAATAGTTATCAAATTGGTAAGGAAGTTTCTCTCACCTTTGTCGTATGACACACCCTAACCTTATTACAACATTCCGTTTCAAAATAAGATGGATAAATGCACGTTCAATAACGGATATTTCTCTGGCTAAACAGGATCCTTCTATCTCTCAAAAGCTGTAGGAAAGCAATTGGAAATATAGAGTACATGTGAAAGAGAAAGCGGAAGTTCCTGCATGAAGTGAGAGTGAATACCAACACAAAACAATCTCCATTTTCAATTTTCGTATTTACAGAATAACAATTTTCCTTAGTCGTGGATAGCTAATGTTAGCTTGGAAAGGCCACTCTACAATAACCTATCAACAAATATTCAATATCTATGAATAAACTTTAAAAGGAAAACATAGCGAAAAGTATTAAAATTGGAAATCGTAAGGGTGCAGCTTCGTGTTTCGCGTTTGTCGGATTCAACTCAAGCTCTTGTTAACTTCAGGGAAAAACAAGCTTGATTGCTTGATTCTTTCGAGGCACACTTGACTTAAAACGTACATTTTTTGTCGCAATGTCCTCAAACTATCTCAAAGTTACACTAAAGATTGTTTGAAAAGAAAGTGAAACGTAATGATTGATCGACAACAGACAGCACAGCGCGCACGAGCAACAGATGAGGTGGTAAAACACACGCAGAGCTACCTTCGAAGTAAAATGTGCGCTTCAGTAAGACATCTAGCTAAAACGGATAAGTTTGTGGTTCAATACTTGCCTCATTTTCTTCTCCTCAGACATCTTGCCCCGCAGACCAAAGGCACTGCAAGAATTACGCAAATAACTCACGTGAGTGCGCGTTATTAACAATGCACTTACTACATCG